ACTCTAGACCAATGACCAGAAGAAAAACAGCCAAGGACAGAAGCTACTAACGAGTTCCTGCATTTTTGTGCGATAGAACTCCATCTTCTCTCTTGAGTCCAAAATCACATTCTCAGTTTCTTCAACCTGCCATGATTAAAAGAATGATTTCTTATCCCATGAAGACAAAAATTAAAAATCTTTGAGAAGAAAATATAATTATCAAATTATCAATAATATGAAACCTGACAAAGCACATTATTTTCTGCAAAATCATATAAAAGTTCCTCCATTCTAAGATGGGTTGGGAGAGGAATAAGAATGATTGAGTAGTGAGTACTCACAAATTTAAAGGCAAGAGACACTCAACTCCAAAAATATGTCAACACCAACAATATTGCAGGAAAATAAACAAAAAGCAAATACACGAAGCATGGAAAATAAAGAAAAATCAAGGTTGAAAAATAGCTGTCTTTGGTCCCCTTCAGACAAAACCTTTTTCCATGTTTAAACAATAACCAACTTCAAGATGCAATTCTTAAACTGTTTGACTGAGGATTAATTATTTTAACGAGGAGCAACTTCCAAGACTGTTGTGCTTCATCTCCTCTTTTTTTTACCAAGACTGGAGGTATATCAGATGATTCAACAAAATATTCAGTCTACAAAATATTCCTGAGATCATTTCCGCATAAACAAATTTTATGAGGTTCAAAATGATATTAAGATAACAGTAACATCTCTGGTCTTTCCTTGTTCAAGATGTTGGATTGAACTGGAAATTTAGAGTGGACTCAATTTGCAATCTAACTGTTGAACAGCGATCTATACAATATAGGACTGTACTGTGCATAATATTGACCTAACGTGATCAGGTAGGACGCTTAATATTTTCTCATTTAGATCTCATAAAGATACTTTTGTGTATTAGAATGGCTATGCTGGTCTTTCAATTTATAAGTTACTTAGACTTGCAAAACTGAATAAACCTTAGGCTTTCTGTCTCTGTAAAAATTAAGTTTCTTAAGTGAAAATTTTGCTTCAAAGAAGTGATTTATCATGCTTAGGACTTTAGGAGAAAAGGAGGAAGGATACTTGTTCGGGACAACATGACCCACTTCAAGGGGAAGGGGGGGAGGGGGGCGGGTTATGAACTTCCTGTCTAAGATTGCTAGAGTAATTCATATTACCAATATATCAAATGACACCGCAGAAAATAAAAGAGACTGTTAAAACTTGAAGCAAGACTGTGTACATCGGAATAAAAAGAAGAAAGGAAATTGCCTTTTTCCCTGCATCTTTAGGCTCTTCAGGATTTGAGTTAGCTGAATCATGCTTCCCATTATCATGTTGGGTTGTATTCAAACCCTCCATCCCTCGCACTCTCAAATTCTGCTGATTCGGTTGCAATGCACTGTCAGCCTGGGGAAGACTTCGTTGCATTGGTGGCCTCAAACCCGCAGCAGGTGCCACACCCTGCATCCCTTGATGTTGTCCAAAACCTAAATTCAAGGAGAACATGTATCCAATGAGCAATCTAACGAGGCGAACACTAAATGTAAAAAGAGAAATCTAGCCATTACCAGGGTTGGGACTCCAAGCTGCATTTCCATAAGCCACTTTGGGTTGACCGGTCATTGAGAGTAGAGTCTCATCATGCATCACATTATGTGGAAGTGTGTCTGGAAGAGGACGACCTTCCCTGTAACGTTCCATCAAATAGAGAGAAAAGCAGAACTCCCTCAAGGAAAGCATGCTGTCATTATCTTGATCAGATAAGTCCCACACCTGCTTTAAAACCTCTGAGAAAGGCAAAAATGGACATTATTGAGCATTTGTTGAACCAAACAAAGTCTTCAAAAAGATTGTCCAATAGATTGTCCAATTACATGTAAAACAAAAAGCATAATTCCATCGATACAAACATCTTGAGGGTAACAAAGATCTTGGGTCAAAAATTAAATTTGACCACTGTATAAATGTAAATTAAGTGCTTGACCTGTCCAATGACGAACAGTTAAATTACTGTAAAAGTAAATTGAATGTCCATTCATAGATGAATGGAAAACTGATTTGAATCAACCACATCACCACCAAAATGTACATCTTCATCCTGAATATTTTCAACGATTTTACTAATATAATTTTTCACATATGAAAATCCACCACATCACCTACACAGTTTACCACTACTGAACCCCAAATATCCTATTCAAATCAGTTCCTTCACACATGTTCAACGATCACGAGGTTGAAATGAGATATACACATTACCAATTTGATCCACTAATTCCAAGAAACTCTAACAAATAACCATATGAAATGCTGAATGATGGACTTCATTTAAAGAAAAATTAAATTTATTCTCTTTTTCAAATAGCCGACCCCACTTAGTGGGAAAAGGCTTTGTTGTTGTTGTTGTTGTTGTTTCAAATTGTTCAATTAAAGATTAGTAATCTAACCTAGTTCATTAGTTATGCTTACATTCAAATGAAAAAACCTTACCTCTTGGTAACCTCCAACTCAGAAACAGATTCCGTGCCTGCTCACCAGTGATTCTCCCATCTCTGTCAGTGTCTACTTCCATAAACACTTTTGTATATTTCTGGACATCAGATGGCTTCATCTTTGGCCAAGGAATCTGCGAATTTCCGGACGTAGAGTTTCCTGCTCCCACTGAACTCCCAGATGATGGAAAAGAGGAAGAAGCTGGAGCTGAAACCTGCTGGCTTGGGTTCGAAGGTCCCTGCGGCCGCTGAAACTGACTGCCAGAAGGCTGCATGGTGAATGCACTCAATGAATCAAGCGCATTGAGCTTACTGGAAGATTGGGACCCACTGGAAACTGGAAGAGTGGCTGATGGGGTAGGTATGCTTCTAGCAGAATATATAGACCCAGAAGATTCCTGTTTCGGTTGACTGGGAGTTGCAGAAAATAAATCACCTGATAAAGCCGAACTGGATGCAAATCCATTGCCAGAAACAACTAATGGTTTGGAGTCGCCAGTTGTTGGCAGGGAAGACATGGAAACTGGAGGCTGTGAGTTTGGTGTAGATGAGGGCATGGAAGGACTAACCCCTCTGGGCCCAGCAGGAGATGCACCAGCGCTTCCACCAAGCCAATTATTTGAGATGTTTGAGTTTGGAACATTGGGAGGCCCCATACCACCTCCAAGACCTTGTTGGGGTGGACGAGAATTAACGCCAGTAGGCATTCCAGTCGGCAGAGCTTGAGGAGGTCTCATGGACTGATTTTGCTGGGGTGGAAAATAATTCTGGTTCGTGGATGCATTAGGAACTCCTTGTCCTCTAAATCCAAAATTTTGAGATGTTGGCAGGGTTCCCATACCCATCTGTGGCCTAGATGCAGCAGCCACTGGATTTGATTGAGGTGCAGATGTGGGTGGAAGATTAATCTGTGGAGCAGGAATTTTTGCAGCAGCTGGACCGTATAATGCTGCCTTGACAATATCCGGAGTTAAATCTCTCTTACTCTGTGCAACGGTCACAAGTCTGAGTGCATTATAAAATTCTGGCCGACCAAGAAAACCAGTTTTGTTCTGATCAGCATGCATCCATATCTGCAGCTCGTAAACATACAACATTTGGTCAGCCAGAAGTACCATGCTAAATCAAATTCTGAATTCCGTAGATTAAATAAGTCCGAATATAAGCACAAGCAAGAGCAACACAGAAAACTTTCCAACAATCTTAAGCTGTTACAACACCGTGATGTATAATACTAACAATAAGATGAACAGAACACAGAGACATATGACCAACTAGGCACAATGTTCACTGAATATCAACTAGGACAAATAATAGACTCGTTCCAAAACAATGAAGTTGTAAAATTGTCCATTAGAACAAGGTGAGAGGAATGTGAAGTTGGTCTATAGCAATCCATTAACTTTGTAAATTTCCTAGTTTCTCAAATGACAGAATTCATACACTAAATATTATTTGTGGTAATTCAGATAGGTATTCAAGCTTATGAATCCACAAATACACACACAAATAGATGATGATTCAAATCTTTATACACATACGTACATATATATATAGAGAGAGAGAGAGAGAGGAACCTGAGCAAGAACTGGTTTGGGCAAATTGGAACCCTGGAAGAAAGCGACGGCTTCAGCTCCGCTGATCCTGCCATCTCCATCCAAATCTGCTCTCCTGAAGTAGGCTTCAAGCTGATCCGCATACGGACCCGCCATTTTCCTCCGATCTCACACCAGATCACCACCACACCCGCTCAACACAATCGCAATCCCCGAATCCCAAATCAAATCATACAGGACGTATACCACACATATACATATAGATACACAGTGGATAGAAATTGAATCTCTCTCTCAGAAATTCCTTACAGAAAGAAACAATGGCAAGTCGAATCGAATGCGTGGGAACCAGAGGTTGGTACTTGCAGGCTGGATCGAAGAGATGACCGAGAGAGAAATGTGGATGTTAAATATTAAGAGAAAATGTAACTACAATGCTCAGCCATGCTGGGTTGACCTCTCGCCCGACCCGAGACCCCGTGGGCTCTTCTTTGCTTCTACAGCTTGTTGGGGCCGCGCTTATTGGGCCCACTGAACCTGCAGTCCAGAACCCAGAAGATAAAAACAATTTTATTAGTTGGGCCAGCAACCCCAATAGTTTATGGGCCCAAAACCGGCCTCATATTCCGATCTAATATTTTATTCTTTTTCTTTGGACCCATACTCATTCTAGAGTCTGAAAGGTACCCAACTTCACTCTACTTGTACTATATTGCATATTGTGTTTGCTTGCAGGTATCCAATAAACTGGAAGCTCATTAAAATCGAATTTGAAGTTTCGAATAAGCGTTATTGAAACTTAGAAGTTTTTGTAAATCAATATACTCATGAAAACTTGAAGATTTTCATGCTAAAATTAAACCAAACATGTATAATACAAGCGGAATGTTCCACCTTTTTGTCTATAGATATCTTTTTCCATAGTACTATCCACAATTTTATACTATCCACAATTTTGTTCTCTTTGTTACACCGATATGTCATACCTTACCAAACTCAAATTTACAGCTCTAGAAGTCTTTGGCAGAAACTTGCTCAATTGCATGAGGAATTTGTGGCCTCCTTGACATTTACATGTTCATGGTTCTTATGCAGGGTTCCAATTACAGATAGGAAGCTTAACATGGGAACTTGGCAGGTATTTAAAAGTTAAAAACAATAATTTTACTTTTCCCAGTTTTCTAATTGTAATTTGCTTGGATCTCTCAACCTTGTAATCATGGTTTATACAATGAACAAAGAGTGCACCACGAGAGTAATAAAAACGAATGAAGAGTATGCACTGGGCGGAGCATTATTTGGTGAACTCGCCCTATCCTCAATAGTGAAGTCCTTGTAGAGATTTTTCCACCGCTTGGTATCAAGGGTGAAGGAGAAGATGCTTTTTGCATGTATTTGCCACTTGCAACGATGCATGCAGTGTCTTAGATCCCTCTTGGGCTCGTATATCTTAAAGGCGCCCTTGACTCATTTGCCATCCAACCTTCTCCACTGCACGTTGCAATAGAAGAGGGTCGTGTCCCACAGATTGTCATGGAATGTAAAGTCGTACGCTCCACTAGGTGGAATTACATGATTGCCTAAGTCGTCTTTCTTGGACTTGCAGTGAAGTTCGACATCAGCTTTTGGTAATACTCTGTTCTCTACGTCAATATGGATATTTCCGAAAATGGCAGCAGAAACAGAATGGCAGCCCAGGACAAGCATAGCAAAAATAATGGATATAGTCCTTGCAGCCATTAGAGTCTCCCTCCTAGCTTCGTTTGACTATTTGAAAGTATACCATAAACAAATCAGAAACAAACGTAAACCACAAAAAATAAATTCAAGCATTTTTCTAAGAACAAAAACACCTTAATTCAAGAGCAATTTATTCACGAATTGTTCTCTAAAAACAAGACCTAATTCATCGTTGGCAAATGAAATGGGATATTTCGAAAAATAACCAATTTTAGAGGTTGGAAATAAATTTTAGCCAAACTTTCTAACTTCTAATAATTTTAACTAAAAACTCAAGTAAAAAGTCATAATTACCCTTAATAGTACTACCTCTGTATCCTGTCTTCTCTTCCTCTCTCCTTTCTCACAAGCTTGATTTCAATCTTTTGGATTTGCTTATTTGAATTGATTGTTGGAAACAAATTGTAAAAGATTCGAGATTTTTTTAGAGCTTAACCACAAGAATGGCTTGGATTTTAAAATTTGAACACTTGTTAGTAACCCAGTTCGACCCAACAGCAACTGTTTTGATCGATGCAGAAAACACATTGAAACCGAAAACCATAGTGCGTAAAACAGGAGAGAGAGAGAGAGAGAGAGAGAAAGAGAGATGAGAGAGATGAGAGAGATGAGAGAGATAGAGGTAACATGAAAGGGACAGACAGAGAGAAAGAAGCATTACCCGGAGAGAGGGGAGGAAATGGCCGAAGAAACAATCGGAGTGGGCGACTGATGATGGTGATTCCCAGACGAAGGCTTCAAAGGCGAAGCCAAGAGGGAGGTAGGAGGAGAAGAAGAAGAGAGTGACTCTATGTGAGTGAGTAGACTGGGAAGAGAAAGTAGTCATGAATGCCATTTTTTATGAGTTCAATTCAATTGCCGGAAATGGCAATCACAAAGCCACCCATCCTTTTTTTTTTTTTTTTTGCTGTTAATAGCAAAAAAAACAGCGCGCTTCTTAACACACTGACATTACATTACACTTACCCTATTGCCCGCGTTGGCAACATTTGCCGCGTTGAATAAATTAGCATTTAAGGTTAAAACATCCAAAGGAAATTGCCATGAGGTCCTTCCCTCTTATATGAGCCAATATTGCACCATCTGCAATATCTGATGCTCTCTACAATCCTTTAATTACTTGAAAAAAAATAAGGGGTTTTGAACATTAGTACTTACAAAAGATTAAAATTAAAATTAAAAAAATCTGGTGCTAGATTACATATTCAATTTAATCCCTTAAAGTGTACTTTTATCAAAATTTATATTCAATTTTTGTTATTCAATGTGTATTTTTATTTAATCTCTCCACATTACATTTTAATTTTATTAATATGCACATATTTAGTTCTTTAATTATAAATGAACATAAATGAGAAAATATTAAAAGAAATTTTTGATACAAAATATATAAATACATGATTGTTCTATGCCGAAATATATATATAATTGACTTTTTTGTGCCCACATGATTGTACTGAAAAATATTATAATGAACCTAAATGTATGTACCGAAATGTATTATATTGAATTAATGTACCTAAATATCAATACCGAAATGTATGTACCAAAATGTACGTACCGAAATGTATGTACCAAAATATATGTACAGAAATGTATGTACCAAAATATACGTACCGAAATGTATGTACCGAAATATACGTACCAAAATGTACGTACCAAAATATATGTACCGAAATGTACATACCGAAATGTATTATATTGAATTAATGCACCCAAATATCAATACCGAAATGTATGTACCAAAATGTACGTACCGAAATGTATGTACCAACATATATGTACAGAAATGTATGTACCAAAATATACGTACCGAAATGTATGTACCAAAATATACGTACCAAAATGTACGTACCAAAATGTACGTACCAAAATGTATGTACCGAAATGTACGTACCGAAATGTATTATATTGAAATAATGCACCCAAATGTCAACACCGAAATGTACGTACCAAAATGTACGTACCAAAATGTATGTACCGAAATATAGTATGTTGAATTAATGTACCTGAAAGTCAATACTCAAATGAAAAGTATTAGGTTTGAATCTCATGGATGACGAATTCGATACCAAATTTGATACAAAATATATAAATACATGATTGTGCTAAGCCGAAATATATATAATTGACTTTTCTGTACCTACATTGTACCGAAATATATTATAATAAACCTAAATGTATGTATCGAAATATATTATATTGAATTAATATATATAATTGACTTTTCTGTGTCCGGTTACCATAGAAATAAATAAATAAGTTAGCTTCTAATACAGTGCATATTAATATTAAAAGGAGTTGGAATTAATATAATTTGAACAAGGTTGTAGCGCACCTGAAGATTAATGAGATAAAATATGTCAATGCGGGGACAACCGATTACAAGCAAACAGTAAACTGGACTGGCAAGAATTTGGCACCAAAGGACAAGGAAGCCTGGGCTAAAGGCCTGTTCACGAAAAGGAAAACAGTTATACTATAATTCTTATACAAAATTAAATCCGTGTTTAAAAAAAAACTTAATCTGTTTCTCCTCTGTGTAATTACTTGAATACAATTGTGCTCCCCACTATTAGCAGGATTGACACACCAATGGTCCATCGGGTTTGTTCATATGCATATTGGGTCTTCATGTACTCGAGCAAGTAATTACACAACGGAGAAACAGATAAGTTTTTTTTAACACAGATTTAGTTTTGTATAAGAATTATAGTATAACTATTTTCCTTGTCGTGAACATGCCTTTAGCCTAGGCTTCCTTGTCCTTTGGTGCCAAATTCTTGCCAATCCAGTTTACTGTTTGCTTGCAATCGGTTGTCCCCGCATTGGCATATTTTATCTCATTAATCTTCAGGTGCGCTACAACCTTGTTCAAATTATACTAAGTCCAACTCCTTTTAATATTAATATGCACCGTATTAGAAGCTAACTTATTTATTTATTTCTATGGTAACAGGACACAGTCGATCTCTATTCGCAAGAAGAGCGACCAACCAAGACTAGAGGCTCTAATAATTACTTTTGGTGGGGCGTTCTTGATTGGAAAATATAATGGCCCGACCAATGCAGCTCATCAAGTTCTTTACGAGAAGTGGACTTGGCCATTGTGTCTTCTAGTCGCTTCAGTATTGTGCTTGGTTTGCCACAATGTACTCATGGTAAGAATGTTATAGTTTTAGATCATAAAGTTGATTAATAATTTTTAAAATGGTTTTGGTCTATTTGTTTATCAATGGCTGTTAAGCATGTTCTAGTGGTGGAAAGTATTTAATTCTTCTTATAACTCTGTTTTTTTTTTTAGGAAAACATTATGGAGAAGTATGACATTGAGGCTTTATGGCTTGCAACCATAGTACGGTTTTCAACTATGATCCCCAGCCTTGTTATTGCCCTGGCCACCACTCATGGACGAGCCTATAAGTGGGTTATGGGTTGGGACTTCAACACGTTTTGCTGGGTATTCGCGGTGAGTTTTGTAAACTAATAACATCTATAATATTATGTAAGTTATGCTAGTTTACAATGTGTAATTTTTTGACCTTTCTCTTGTAGGGCATTTGTGCTGGTCTAGGGCAGTATTTGGGGACCACTTTGACAAAGAAGACGATTGCTACATTTGTGTCGTCATTTACCCCAATATCCATGATTTTAGTTATTGGGCTATCAGCTATGATCGTCCATGATCGCATAAAAAAACCGAGGTAAAATCTGAAAACTTAATTCTAATTGACATTAATTGAGTTATTTGTAAAGTTAATTGATAACAAAGTGCATCGTTGAATTTTCAGTATTGGGGGTGTCATAATGATCGTGATAAGGCTTTGCATTTTTCATTGGCGAGAATATCGATCAACATCTAAAGAGGGGGCTCAAGCTGAGAAGGAGCGTTTGAGGTGGAGGCTCAATCTACGGAGGAGGTTCAAGCTATGAAGCAGGTTCGAGCTGTGGAGGAGGTTAGAGCTGATGAGGTAGTTGCAGTTACAGTTATCGTTTCTTTTATTTTTATATTTTCTTATTTTTAATCTAATTATTTGTTTTTGTTGTTTGTTCATACAGGAGGGACCTTATGCATGTGCAGAAAGATGAGCATTCTGTATGAACTGCTCACCTCCACCATAACCCAAACCTCTGAAAAACCAAACCCATGAATAAAGGCATGACCAGTAAACTACTAAAGCCGCCACAGAACCCACAACCCAAGAAGCACGCCACGTCCCAAGAAGACGAATTTCTTGATTGCAATATAGTTGGTGCCTGTTGGAAATTTGATTGAGAAATATAAGACAGCGAAGCATCTATCCTACGGCTAAATAGGGTTAGATTGTGTTTGTACCATACTTGACCAATCCCGAAACTACCGAGCACCGGCCAACGCTATACTGTCAAGGACCCAGAAGAGTTCCCCTCCGACCAGGAGGCCAATCACTACTCGACACGTGTCAAGATTAGAAGCCAATCAGAGCGCAGCACGTGTCGACATCAAGAACCAATCATAACATGACACATGTCAATGTGACAAAGCTACAAGTTTTTCTATAAATAGGGGTCATTCCCCCACAATATGGCCTAATGCCATTTTGTGTTAAATCATTCACAAGAACTCACTAAATTGAGAGCTTGATCCTTTGTACTTGTGTAAGCCCTTCACTACTAATAAGAACTCCTCTACTCCGTGGACGTAGCCAATCTGGATGAACCACGTACATCCTGTGTTTGCTTCTCTGTCTCTATTTCATTTACGTACTTATCCTCACTAGTGACGGAAGCAACCAAGCGAAGGTCACAAAAACCTGACACTTTCTGTTGTACCAAAGTCTTCGCTGATTTTGTGCATCAACATTTGGCGCCGTCTGTGGGAAACGACACTTATTCCTACTCTCTTCAGCTGTGTCAAGCTGGTTTCTATCATTCGTACACTTTCTTTTGATCAGGCATCCCTCTCCAGCATGGGAAGCGAAGGAAGCCACAGCACACAGAATGACACCCCCCTTGCACATAGTGCGAAACAACGAAAGAAGGAAGGAAAACGAGTTCTTCTTCAAGCTAAAGTCGATGAGTTGGAAGCTCAGAACAACAAGATAGCAATGAGGAATGAGGTCCTCCAGGAGCAATATGAGAAGCTCTTCGAGACACTTCACGAAGCTAGGCAAGCTCAGACACGCGAGCTTGTTGCCCTCGTGGAAGTCAACCATCAACTGGGTGCCCTCCAACATGGAGGGTCACATACATTCGACATAGATATCCCTGATAGGGAACAAATTACCCCTCGATTTGATAATCAACATGAGGCTTCTCTTAACCCAGTTGCTTCGACCCGAACCATGAGAAGCGGAGGGAGACACCTCTTTGCTGAAGGGGCAGAAGAAGGATCGAAAGCCGTCTTTCGCGATTGTCGGGATTCGGGATTTCCTGAAGCAACGTCGAGAGAGAATTCCATCCATATAAGCTCAAAGATCAATGACCCAAGGATTTCTGAGAGACTCGGTCCCCTGCCACGGCCCGAGCCGGCCACCAACTTGGGGAAGGGGCAACAAGTCCTAGAGAGACATGAGGGTACAGGGGACTCAGAGGTGTTCCGACAGACATACCCTGGAAGCCAGTACAGCGAGTCCAGGGAAAAATCACATGCCCTTGATCAAACCTTCCTAATTCCAAGAGGAGATGGAGATTTACGAAAGAAAGCTCCAGTGGCACATAACTCCGCTCAGGACCCCCTTGTCCTACAACTTCTTGAGGAAGTAAACAAGTTGAAGGCTGAACGTCAGGCTGAAATACCTGACTGGAACCAACCCAGGCCTGGCCCTCTTACAAGGAGGATCCTCAACACCCCCCTTCAAGCAAAGACAAAGCAGAAGCTTGGCTTGCAACTTTATACTGGGAAAGAGGACCCGATTGAGCACCTTAACCTCTTTGAGTCCACCATGGCATACCAGATGCACACCGACGAAGAGCGATGTCTTCTCTTCCCCTCCACCCTCTCTGGCGGAGCTCTAAATTGGTATTGTCGTCTTACACCTGAGACGGTAGACTCATTTGAGGAATTGAGGAAACTATTTGTTTCCCAACACATTTTCCAAACCGATCGCTTGCACTCTGCAGATGACCTGTACACTATCCGCCAGAAGCCAGACGAGTCATTACGTATGTATGCTGGCCGCTTCAGCCATGAATACTCCCGGTGTGCCGAGGCAGACGACAAGACTGCCCTCAAAGCCTTCACGGCAGGCCTACGTGATTGTTTCTTTAAATACATGATCAATGCCAATACTTGGAAGACTTACTCTGAGGTGATGGCGCAGGCTTATAACCATGCCTCCGCCGAGGCAAAGACATATCAGGAGAAACCCCCTACAACCATCCTTTATCAACAAGTGGGAGGTGGAAGCCAGACTCACCTAAATGAGAGAAGACCTCGACTTTCCAAACAGCAGTGGCACCTCCCCATGCCTTGCATAATGCTTCACCGAATCAACAGACATATCAATTTCAAGGCAAGAGGAAGGATTTCCATCCTCACCATTCTCCTTCCAGTAAAAAGAGTAAGGGACACTATCCCGATAACCAAGGGTATCGCCACAATAACGCTCGCCCCCAGGCAGTCAATGCAGTGGGTCAAACCCGCGTCAAGATACCCCCTACCCCAAGGTATGAGACATACACGCCCTTGAATACCACATGCGCGGCCATTTACCCCAGCATAGCTCACCTGATACCAAAGCCAAAGCCGAGGCACCCAGATTACACGCCCCCGAATAACGCGGGCATGTTTTGTTGCTACCATGAGCATAACGGCCATGATAGCGAGAAATGTATCATCCTCCGTGATCGTATTGAAGCTTTGGCACGAGAAGGAAAAATTGATCAATTCCTCCTTCACCCTCAAAAGGGATAACCGTAACCAACGCCAGGTGAATGTCATATATTCCATAAGCGGCGGCACACCCATATCTGAATCTTCCAATACGGCCATGAAAAACAGTGAACGAATTCTGAGGCCTGGTCACCAAGTGTTTCACGTGGAAGACATCAGGGGAGGGAAGTATCAAAAGCCTAACTGGGATCCGATATGTTTCTACCCTGAGGAAGAAAGAGGCATCATCTACCCTCATAACGACCCATTGATCGTGGAGGCTCACATAGCCAACTTTGATGTTCGACGATTCCTCGTAGACACAGGGGCTTCGGTCAATATCATGTTTGCCGAAGCTTTCAGGGCACTCAGTGTAGCTGAACACTTGCTCGATCGCTCGATTTCTCCTCTGATAAGCTTCTCCGGTGATATCGTGCAACCCTTAGGGAGCATACATTTACCCTTTACTATTGGTACAGGCCCTTACACGGCTACCATTACCACTAACTTTCCTAGTGGTTGACTGCCCAACGGCATACAATGTCATCTTTGGGCGCACAGGCATCAATGATCTCAAGGCTATGGTATCCACGCATATGCTGTTGATGAAATTTCCAACCCCCCATGGCAACGGGCTACATCAGAGGAGATCAGCTTACTGCACGATCATGTTACAACACCTCAGTTAAGCAACAACACTTGCCCGGACCCAAGGAAACCCTGTCTGTACATGACCAAGTCACAAAGACCAGCCTAGATGAAGCGAACTTGGATCTTCCTGATAGCAACAATCAACCCGATGATCCTCGAGATGACTCTTTCACCCAGGCAAGTCCAACCTGCTGAAGAGTTGGAGAAGGTACCTATCTCAAGAGATTATCCAGATCGCATGGTGAAGATTGGCACCACATTGTCACCACCCCTTCGGTTAGCATTGATATCTTTTTTTGAAAGAGAACACTGAAGTCTTCGCCTGGTCATACGAGGACATGCCAGGCATCTCTCCCGATGTCATCTGTCATCGTTTGAGTATTGACCCCAAGATCAAGCCGGTGAGACAGAAGCGAAGATCTTATGACGCTGAACGATACGAGGGCAATGAAAGCAGAAGTTGAAAAACTCAAAGGCATAGGCTTTTGTCCGCGAAGTCAATTACCCGACATGGGTAGCAAATGTGGTCCTTGTTAGGAAAAATCCGACCAAAGAAAGTCTTTCGCTTCAAAAGGTCTTGTGGAGGATGTGTGTTGACTACACCGACCTAAACAAAGGGTGTCCGAAAGATAGTTTCCCTCTTCCTCTTATTGACAGGCTTATAGACTCTACGGCAGGGTGTGAGCTCTTGAGCTTTATGGACGCTTATTCAGGATACAACCAAATCCTCATGAACCCCTCAGACCAAGAACACACGGGCCTTCACTACTGACAGGGGACTATATTGCTATAAAGTCATGCCTTTCGGCCTAAAGAATGCAGGAGCAACTTATCAGAGACTGGTCAATTCAATGTTCGCCGAACAAATTGGAAGAAACATGGAAGTTTACGTTGATGATATGCTAGTCAAAAGCAAACATGCTGACCAACACATCACCAACCTATCTGAAACTTTCACCATTCTAAAGAGGTATCGAATGAGGTTGAACCCCAACAAATGTGCCTTCGGCGTGGGCTCTGGCAAATTCTTAGGCTTCATGATTAGCCAACGAGGCATTGAAGCTAACCCTGAAAAGATCAAAGCAATCCTCGACATGAAAGAGCCAATAACTTCAAAAAGACATCCAAAGCCTTACTGGCAAGGTGGCAGCCTTAACCAGATTCATCTCTAAGGCCAACAGACAGATGTGCTCCTTTCTTCAAAGCACTCAAGGGAAATAAGAAGTACATTACATGGACGGAGGAATGTGCCAAGCATTCAGGAACCTCAAAGAGTACATGAGTAAAGCCCCTCTGCTCTCCAAACCAGACGTTGGTGACACTCTCATCATCTATCTATCGGTTTCGGCTTCAACAGTCAGTTCTGTTTCTTATTCGAATGGACAGTGGTGTCGAACAGCCCGTCTACTACGCTAGCAAGGCCCTACAA